AAAAAAAAAGAATCACGTTATTTCCAGTGCCTTGATCTCTCAGTGGTCCTGTTGCTGAGAGACCTTCCGAAGGAGATGAATAATATAGATGGGAAACACCTTTGCATTCCTCCTTGCTGCACACAGCCTCGTGTATATTTATATTTCCACTCCTCGAGGAAATGACCTTGAGTGGTTCCAGTTTTATCACAAACTTTCACAAGACCTTGGTGGATGTGAGGAAATGCATTATGGCCACAAGAGCTCTGCCTACCACAACTTATTACTCCAGGGGGCCTAGGTTCCCTCTGAATGCAGGTGCTCACGCAGGCTTCCACCCATTGATGACTGAATCCTTTCACCTCTGAGCTGTGCTTTTAGCTCTCTAAGGAATGGGGAATGGTCTGGTGACCATACAAGCCTGGAAATAACAAGTTTAGAAAGCAGCCACCAGTACTATTCCCTGTCTCTCATATTTCTCTCCAAACAGAATCATTTGGAAGAACAATTTATGTATTGCCATCCCCGTCATGTTTTTAGACTGCTTGATATAAATGGAGAGCAGAGAATCAGTACAACCAACTTCCGCACGTACAAATTTCTCTTTAATATTAAAAAAGAGCATCTCAAAGAGTTCTTCTATGGCTTTGGCTCCACTGATGACCGTGTAAGTACAGATCCCAAGTGTAGCATGGCAACCTCTTAATAAAAACAGAAGACAACATTTTATTACCTGTGCTCACTTCAGCAGCACATATAATAATATCCTATCATCCATGCTAGAGATGGCTGAGGAGGAGGGTAGAGAAGCAACTGCATGGAGCTAGGGTCAGAGAAAATCGGGAGGGACATAGGAACAGAATAAGTGCTCTATCACGTAATGTGGACCCACACCTTTAGAAGCTTAGAGAAAGAAATATAATGACATGGCAGTAACTGGTGTTAAGGGAAGGTTCAGAGATTTGAGTAAGTAGAAAGAAAGTAACCCCATGTCAGGACCATGTGAGCTAAGTCCTAAGAGAGGCCAGCGTGAAGACGATGGAGTCTTCACGCTGTGTAGAGGGGATGTCTGTGTTGGTGCAGCCAAGGCGGAGAATACTGGGTCATCTGAGGAAGATACTCGGCCTTCTTTCTAAGGGCTAAATAATTACAATTCTATTGTCGCCTATAGTAGTGTATCAAATCTTTCCTAAACTAATTTTTTTTTCTTCCCCAACAAAAGCGTCTTAATTACAAGGAATTTAAGATATATACCATCTTCGCCAATGACAAATTCAAGGAAAGGCAGAGAAGGGAGAGAGAGAAACAGGAAAAGAGAAATAAATTTAAATCTCAGATCAAGAAAATAATGTATCAAATTGCTGTGAGCAGAAGATTTTTGAAGACCTCTTAAAGAACATGATTAAAACGGTTCATGTGTTCAAAAATAAAGTTAACATCCTCAATGTGGGTATCTTGACATTTTTATTGGAAGGGTCTAAATGAGCTCTCCCTAGTGAACATGTATTTACTTTTAACCACAGAGACGTCACATCAGTGCCAAGTAACTGTTTTCTTTCTGGCAGGTGGAGAATGAAACCAAAGTCCTTGGGCTTGGTAGGCAAGAGCTGCCCGCTGAGCTCTGCCCTCAGCTCCAAGCAACTGCTTTCATTTTGTCCAAGGGTTTCAACTCTGCTGCTGCTTTTCAGTTCAGCCTTGCTCATGGCGTGCTCACACGTCCTCATAACTGCTGACACTCACTGATGCGAGGCAGGTGAATTTGTCTCCAGCGATCTGACACTCAGAATCCTTTTTAGTGCCCATTAGGCTAAGATCACTTTTAAAATACCAGACTTCACACTGATAATACTGACATGTCTACAACCATGAGGGAAGTCAATTTTTTAGATATATGCTGTTTTCTTTTTCTTCTGAGGTGGGGGTTTCACATATTGCCCAGGCTGGTCTTGAACTTACGGACTCAGGAGATCATTCTGCTTCAGCCTCCCAGGTAACTAGGACCACAGGAGTGTGAGTGTACCACATACCCAGCTAAGGCAGTGTTTTTCTTAGAACCTGAATTACTCTATGAGTTAGATACTTAAGCAATTGAACCAAACCTACTATGGTAAGGTAATTACTGCATGCCCTTGCATAATTTTAATTCTTGTATAATTAATGCCTTGAGTACTTTAAGTAATATTTTTGGCACAAGATTTGTGAATCCTCTGACTGTATTGTGATGTAATAATGATAACTACATATATTACGTGCTTGCTATGTGCTAGGCAATGATTCCTAAGGGTTTTTTTTTTTTTTTGCTCCGAATGCCTTCAGGGCAGGTTTGGCTGGTTGGAGTTGTGGGGATCGAACTAGAGCAACCTGAGGCTGACAGCTTTGTGGAAGCAGCCACTTAAAGAACTGAGTGAGGGCCAGGCCCCTTTTTCTAAGGATTTTTTTTTTTTTTTTTTTTTGGCTAGGCAATGATTTAGATATGTAACTTATTCTCAAGCCTGTTAAGTAGGTGTTGTTATCCTCAATTTACACATGAGGAAATTGAGGCCTATAGAGCTTAAGAATCTTATCCATGAACATATTGCTTAGGGCTGGGGAGATGGCTCAGTGGAATAAGTGCTTCCCTGGCAAGCACAAGGGCCTGAGTTCAATCCCTGGTTCCACAAAAACAAAAACATACTGCTTATAAGGGTAGAGCCAGGCTTCAAGGTCAAGTACAATGCTTATGATTCCACCTGGGGATCTAACTCAAGTTTTAGCAGATTCTGTTTAAGTTTTAAGCTGACAGGTGATTCACTCAGAAATTCATTTTGCTTTATATTAATTGCCACATCTCCTACCATGAATTTCTTTTTTTTTGTTCCTCGAATGCCTTCAGGGCACTTTTGGCCAGCGGGAGAGCTGTGAGGTTCAAACTCCAGCAACCTGAGGCTGAGAGCTTTGTGGAAGCAGCCACTTAAAGGCCTGAGCTAGGGCCATGCCCCCTCCTACCATGAATTTCTGAGGAACAAATTTAGGAGTTGAAGAAATATAAGTTGGTTGTTATAGATCAATGGCTTATTTATGGGTAAAGTGTGAAACTGGCTTTGCAACATTCAGTGAGTTCCAGAGCACTGTCTATATGCAATACAAGAATGCTCTTTGGGGGCTGGTGAGGTGGCTCAGTGGTCTAAAGCACCTACTTAGAACAAGCTTAGCAACGCACATGGATTGTGGTTCAATCCCCCAGCACCACATGCCAGCCAGCCCTGCCCCCAGGTGGGCTGAGCTAGCCACACACACACACACACACACACACACACACACACACACAAATAAATAAAATAAATAAAAAAATAAAAATAAATGGTCTTTAAAAAAAAACAAAACAAAAGAATGCTCTTTGTCACCTGGAGAGGTGACACACATCTGTGGCCTCAGCCACTTGGGAGCTGATGCAGGACTGCAAGTTGGAGGTGATCCTGCTAAAGTTAGCAAGACCTTGTCTCAAAGCAAAGAATGAACAAGGCCAGGGCTGAAGGTCAGTGGTGGAGTAATTTGCCTAGCATGGAAGGCCCTGGACTCAGTACCTAGGATGGCAAAAGCATATAAACAAAACTGCTTATATGATTGTTATTCATAAGCTAAACTTACAATAATAGAAACCATATTACTATGCATACCTCTCCACATTTACTCTAGTGGACAAGGGGTTTTGGTAACATGCTTGTAAGCATGACTAATGTGATTGGCAGCCAAACTTTTCTTCCCACAGTGGTACCACAAAAAATGAATGAAACTAGCAAAAACCCCACCCATCTGAGCCACCTAACCTCAGATTTGCTTTCCATACAGTAATGGTTATTTCTCTAATGGAAAGTTTCACTAAATCTCACAGTAGTGTTCTCTCCTTTTTTTTGGCTTGAACAGTTTGCAGCTGTCTTCCAAGATGAGTTGTATTCTGACACCACTGTACCTACAGAGTACCGGGACCGGCACTATCTGGCCAGAAAACAGCTAACTAGCCCTAGGTCTAAAGTGTCTCATCACTGAACTCATCTTACTATAGGTTTCTGCTGCTTTTTGTGGCGGGCTAAGTAGTTTCTGTCACCAGACATCCTTATGATCTAGGCGTGGTGTTGGAGACAGAGAGTACAAGGAGAAAGCTTTCTTCTGTCTTCCAGGGAGGGTCCTGAGATACACGAATGGCAGCAATAGCACATCTGTTCTTTCTGACATGGGTACTAAAGCATGGAAATGCTGTACTCTTTACTGTTTCATAATGACAGCGGAGAGGGAGGGAGAGCCAAAGACAGTAAGTACAGTAGATATTGTAAGTTTTCTTCTCATCTCTGGAAATCAGGGTGACTGTAATATTATGAATCAGCTGGTTTTTTTAAAAATCCCTTTTAAAAGTACCTTTGGGGTGGGGAATGTAGCTTGGGGCATAAGCACCTGCCTGGCAAGTACAAGGTCCCAAATTCAATCCCCAGTACCATAAGGGGGGGGGGGAAGCAAAAGCATCTTCATAGCACTCAGGAGGTTGAAGTAGGAAGATTACAAATTCAAGAACAGTCTGGGCTTCCTGGACTACATAGTAAGTCCCTGTCTCCCCCAAAAACAAAGCCCCCTCCTTTAAAACCCCTAACAAAATCTCTTATAAACTTCATGGTTGAGTTTGAGAACAGCTTGAGCTACAAAGCAAGCTCAAGGTTAGCCTGAACTGCATAGGCAGACCCTGTCTCAAAAAAAAAAAAAAAAAAAAAAAAAAAAAAAAAGAAAAAAAGAAAAAAAAAATCAACCAAGTGTGGTGGTACATGCCTATCTATAATCCCAGCACCCAGGAGTTTGAGGCCAGGCTAAAGGGCCCAACTAGTGTGAAAACTAAAATTCAAATGCACCTGTGAAGTGACACTTCTTTGGACTGGGAATACAAAGAAGGCAACCTATCAATGTCAATGTCCACTTCACGGTTTTATCCTTCATTCACATATATATGGCTTTAAAAATGTTTCCATGGAAGTAAAGGGGCTAGAGATGGTATTCAACAATAGCGTGCTCAGCATGCGGAAGCCTTGAGTTTCTTCCTCGGTGTACACAAACCCAGAACATGTGTTGATGCTTTGAGTCTGAGCTACTTCATCAACTTTCCATTGTTGTACTGCTGGCTGGTTTTATTTTGATACAGGGTATCGCTATGCAGTTCAGACTTATACTGATATTCCTGTCTCAGCCTCCCCAGTATTGAGATTACAGGCATGTGCCACCATGCCCAGTTTAGGGGCCGGCATGACATGCAGTACTGGGGATTGAACTCTGGTCCTTGTACTTTCCAGGCAGGCCCTTAGAACGCTGAGCAATCTCACCAGCCCTGTGCTGCACTTCCTTGGTCACCTGTGTTCTGAGACACAGGCAATAGAGAGAGGCAGCATTGCTGGGGAATGTGAAGCTTGATGGGAGAGATGTTCATTCGGCTGTGGTTTCTGCCAATCAGCAAATTTCTCTGAGGAAGGGACTCTGGAGGGAGCTAAATAAAGCAAATTTGTCTACCACGGCTTAGTGCTCATATAGTCTCACCATCCTAAGGCTTAGATGATGAAGGCTAGAAAAGGCCAAAACCTCACTGACTTCTTCAGAGTGGAACAGTCACCCACCTGAGAGGCATTTACAGAACCAGAGAAATGACAGGTTGAAGAAGAGCCCACATCACCGAGATTCACACTGAAATCACAGGAGACTGGCTGCAGCAAGAGTGATTGTCAGCTGTGTGCTGCTTCTCTTCTCAGTAAATAAAAATATTAAATCACAGCATTAGGCAGTGGGAAGTAGACACAAGGCATATCTGCTAACTGGTCCAATTAACAAGACCATTTAAAAAGCATATTTTAGGGGCTGCAGAGATAGTGATCTAGGTACCTATCTAGGCAAGTGCAAGGACGCGGGTTCGATTCCTGGTACCACAGGCCATATCAGTCTTGTCCTGGGTACTCAGAGACCTCCAAGATGGGGCATGGTGGTGCATGCCTATAATCTCAGTGCTGGGGAGGCTAAAACAGGAAATTCAATACAAGTCCAAGCTGTGTAGTGAGACCCTATGCCAAATACATAAAGATAAAAAAATTTTTTTTAAAAAAGTGTATTTGGGGCTGGTGAGATGGCTCAGTGGTCTAAAGCACCTACTTAGAACAAGCTTAGCAAAGCCCAGGGACTGCGGTTCAATCCCCCAGCACCACATGCCAGCCAGCCCGCCCCCTGGTGGACTGAGCTGGCCACACACACACACACACACACACAAGTAAATTAAAAAAGTGTATTTTAGAGCTGGGGTGATACTTGGTACTCTAAGTGCCTGCCTGGCAGCATAAAGACCCAGGTTCGATCTGTGGTACCACATGCCATGCCAGTCCTGGAAACCCAGGTACATCATGCTGGCCACTGAAACTGGGTGCGGTGGTGCACATGTGTAATTCCAGCAATGGGGAGGCTGAGACAGGAAGATCACTATGAGTAGGAGTTGTGTAGGGAGACCCTGTACCAAATAAATATTTTTTTTAAAAAAAAGTTATAAAAAGGCTTTTTCTTTTTTAAAAAAGTGTATTTTAAAAACTATGATAAAAATAAGGACTTCGGGGCTGGTGAGATGGCTCAGTGGTCTAAAGCACCTACTTAGAACAAGCTAAGCTAAGCAAAAGGACAGCGACCACGGTTCAATCCCCAGCACCACATGCCAGCCAGCCCGCCCCCTGGTGGGCTGAGCTGGCCACACACACACACACACACACTAAAATAAATAAATAAATAAATAAATAAGGACTTCTTCCTGCCCCAAATGGAGAAAAGATGGGTGAAAATCATTTCAGTAAGAAATACCAGCCGAGTGTGGTATCACCCACCTATAATCCCAGCACCCGAGAGTTTGAGGCCAGCATGGGCTACACAGTGAGTTCAAGGCCATCCTGGATTATATAGTAAGACCCTGTCTAAAAAAAAAAACAAAAAACCCCCAAAAAACAAAAAACAAAACAAAACAAAACAAAAAACACAAAAAAGTGTTGGGGTAGAGTATCCCCCCAAATAATGGAAAAAACAAATCTGGACTGCTATTTTATTCCTTTCACAGAAATAAACTCCATGTAACAATGAAACCACAAATGAAATATTAAAAACATGAAAGTTTTGTATAATCTCAGAATAAGTATAATCTTTGGATTCACCTATAAGCCATAAGCTTATGGCTAATAGCTAATGGTTCTGATCATGAAAAACTTAAATTTGTGCAAGACAAATCACACACACACAGAGACCAATTACAGCACACGACAAAAAAGGGCTAATTTTCTTACTATGAAAAAAGACCAAATTGGGTTAGGAACAAGGGGAAACAGACAATTTACAGAAAGAAAAAAATACAAACAGCTTTAAAATACACAATAAAATGTCAAAATTTCATTTGTAAGCAAAACACAAAGTTAAACTACAGGACAAAGTTTGTCACTTACCTGACTGCCAGAAATCAAAAAATTGGGTCCGGCTCAGCTGATAGCACACACTTAGAATCCCAGTCAAGTTGGGAGGCTGACATGTACAGGTTCTGAGGCCCACTGTGGGAGGGCCTCTCACATAGCAGACAAGTGATCGATGGCTGAGCTGTATGTATTGCTAGCTGTCTTTCTGAGACAAGGTGTTGACATAAGCTACCCAGGTTGGCCACAAAGTTCTGATCTCTCTGCCTCAGCCTCTGAAGTAGCTAGGATTAAAGCCTATATTATTGTGTCTGGCCTAAAGTATCTAAAAGCTAACTACATGGCTGGGATGTGGCTCAGCAGCAAATTACTTACCTAGGATGTCTAAGGCCCTGAATTCAATCCCTAACATTGAACAGTAAAATGTAAAATAAAATAAAATAAAATACAGCTGGGAATGCAGCTCAGCAGCACGTGCACCTTCTTGGCAAGCACAAGGTCCCGAGTTCAATTTCCAGTACCAAAAATAAATAAATAAAATAAAGTAAAATAGCATAAAATAAGATAAAATATAAAGCTACCTAGCAAAAGAGTAACACATGTATCCTTGTGGGAGAAGAAATAGGAGATTAAGAACAGGAATGGATGGGAGACTTTCCACTTAGTATGTCTGAGTTTTTTCTCATGGGCATATCTCACCTATTTTATTTGATTCTTTTATTTTTCTGTATTTTTAGGGAAGGGTCTACAGGGTGTTCAGGGTCTCATTACTAGATCAGACTTCTAGTGATCTGCCTGTTCACAGCCCCCCAAGAGCTGGGATTACAGATGCACGCCACCACGCCCAGTCTCAATTACCATCTCAGTGCATCGTGAGGGTGGGGCCAGCACAGCAGGCCTGGGGATCGAACCCCAAGACCCTGCACTTGCTTGCTGGTGCTTTAATCCACTGAGCTATTTGGCTGGCTCTCAATTTTTAAATAAAATTTACAGGACAAAAACTGGCAGGGTGCCCACTTGTAATTCCAGCTACTAGGGAGACTAAAACAGGAGAATTGTAGGTTTCAAGACCAGCTTGGGTACTCCAGCAAGACTGTGTCAAAATAAAAAGGGGTCAGGGATGGAGCTCAATGATAAAGCATTTACCTAGCACATGCAAGTCCCACATCTCTACCATCCCAAATCAACAACAGACATACCCTCATGTCAACCTTCCATTTGATCTAAAAACAGAATAATCTCAGGTCTTGAGAAAAACTTAATTGTGATTTTTTTGGGTCAGTTGCATGATTTTTTTTTTTTTTTTTTTTGTACTAGGAATTGAATGCAAGACCTTGACAGGCCAGCCCTATGCTACTGAGCTATATCCCCGACCCTACAACATGAGAGAAAAAATATTCTATCTTAAATTACATTTTCAAATACAGAACATGAAGCATAACTACAAATGACTATGGATAATTTGGCATAGCAAAACCTATGTTTTGGTAATAAAGATCTTGTTATGTATTTAGTTAAGGTTTTAGAAAGGATGAAAAACCTTCATATTTCTCATTAGAATAAGGCTAATTACCCTTACTTATATAGAGAGCAAGTTAAAAATTCAGAATAAAGGCAAAGACAAAGAGAAAAATCAAACTTTTTTTTTTTTTAAAAAAAACACAAAAACCCTACATACTGAAATACAATCAAGCATTGGTCCAATCTTCTATCTATCAGTCTATTGACAGTTAAACAGCACCATGGTTTCTTACCTCGGTTAAACATGCCCAGAGAATTGTTAAAGTATATGTTCCTTTAAAGTAAAATGAACTCTTAAAGAGAGGTCAAATCCTGAACAAACAAACAAGACCTTTTATAAACCATGTATTGTTGATGACATCACCAATTTTTTGAAGAAAAATAGGTTTAAACACTTTTTTCCAGTTGACCTTTGAGAGATGCTATTTGATGTGGGATACAAACCAGCAAAGCCTTTTTTGATGACAGGGCTGACAAACTGAAAGACCTTCATACGTCCACCTCTAAATATAAAAATTCCCCTTTGGAATTAATGCTGCTGTCTTAAATTTCAATCCAATCACCAGCAAACCTAAATTAGATGTAGCTATAATCCTTAAAATGATTGAATAAAATCAGGGAAATAGTTGAAGCTCTCAGAAACATGTTACAGGTATAGATATATTTAATCAGGCTATAGGAAATGTAATGCCATTTTAATGTTACATTTAAACTAATTCATGGTTTCATTTTGTCGCTAAAATTAATAATGATGCTTCACCTCCAAATAGTTGTGGAGGCTTGAGATTTCCTAGCAGAGAATAGCATTCTTAAGTGCCTCATTGCCTCGGCTTTTCAATATCCTGCATTTTCACGGGTACGGTGTAGTCACATTAGCCCCCTTCTTGCTTACAGAACTAACCTTTAAGAGGATCCAATAATCCCTCCCTCACAGCTTTGCTCCAGTCATAGTACAGAAGAATCAGGTTATTTCACTGGACTTTTAATCCCCTAATCTAATTTGCAGATGACTCTTAATCTGCCTGTTTGCTACAAAAGATGAGGGAGGAAAACTGTCATTCACCATGACTACAAGTGAGTGACACCAGTAAACCTTTCACACTTGTAAAATTCTGAGTTGAAATTTTCTCTAGAAAACGGAAAACAGGCACAGTTCTCACAGGCACAGAAAGAATGGGCTTTCCTTATACCACTCCTGCAGAGTGGAGAAATCATTTTGTTATCTTATAGTGGAAACAGCTGTCCTAGATTCTTGTATTTCCTGGCCCAGGAACTATGCATCTGGGTCAGAGTTAGCTATGAAAAGGTCCAAGCAGAGTAGATAAATCAATAAAGGCATATATATAGTAGTGACTTTCTAAGCTTCAATACGAAAACTGCTCTCTATGTATTTCAAAACATTTATGCAGCATTTTCAAACGCTTATCAGTTGAAAATTAGACATCTGCCTGCACTGACTAAATATTGCCTAGTGTTCCAGGAGGCTGCCTGCCACTATCATGTGGAAGGCACCGAAGTTTCATGTGATTGTAAATAAGGAGCTGATGTGTAATGGTAGGGAAAGTAATACTGAGACACAATTTGCCAGTCATACTCCTTTAGGACTAAATAAGAAATGAGCTATGAATAAAAAACCAAAATAGAAGCAAACTTCAAATCCTTCTCTTTACAGATTCCATTTTTTAAAAAAAGTTTTATAATGGTTACTGTTTCTGGAAATTATATAATTTGATATCTATCTATCTATATATATATATATATATATATATATTTTAAAAACTCTGCATTCAAAAGGTGCTTGGTGCTGTTTTTCAAGGGTACAATGTTTCATTTACAGTCCAAATCATTTAAATACAGCTACTATGTAGTTGAGTATTCTAAAATACATGGTAATTTCTTAACTGCTTCAATTTAGAAATTATAATTACATGAGTCTCAAAGGCTGGCTCTTTGTGTTTTATTATTTTTTGTTGGTCTCCATCACAGATGGAATTTTTCACTGGTAATTCCTCAGAACTAAATCCATTCATAGGGAATTTAGAGCAGTGAAAATAAATTTCACGCCATAGAGTAAGAAATGACAACAATAAAAAGGAGCAGAGCACTGTGGGAACCGGGGATGGATGGTTCAGTTCTCCACTGGTGTTGGGTTCTGCAAAGGCTGGCTCACTATAACCTGTACAACATAGTCCTTTGGGATCTTCAGCTCCTCCAGCTTCATTTTGTCAGTGAGAGGCCTGCCAGAAAAGAACCACCGCTGACTACTAGGTTCTACTCCTTCTGCTGCATGTAACCGTCTCTTCATGTGGAATACTGTGTCTGTGCTGCGTACCACAAGTTTGAGGTCTTTGCCAGTGGAAAGGCGCAAACGGAGCTGAGATTCATATCCAGAATTGGGTGGTGGCTCGGGAATATCCAGACTCTCTATGTCACTCTTTTCCTCTATCATGTTGATTGGTGGTGCCAAGCAATAGACTGGAAGTTGATATCGATTCCCCAGTTCATCATAGCATTCTGTAAGTGCACCTTTAGGGAGAGAAGATGTGAGTTAGACTTTATTTATTTATTTTTTTAAAAATTTGTTTGTTTTTGAGACAGGGTCTTGCTTTGATATAGGCTGCCTTGAATTCACTTACGGTAGTCCAGGTGATCCTCCTGCCTCAGCCTCCTGAGTGCTGGGATTACAGGTATGTTCTACTACACCTGGCATGAGGTAGGCTTTAAATGAATGTATTCCTGCTTACATCTTAAAAAATGCTTATACTTCTGCTAAATGGCTTCTGTATAGAAACAAAGTGAAATTATACTAGTCACTACAAGCTGAGTTTCTATTTATCCAATTTTACATTAACCAAGATGCTAGTGCCTTTAATTTTTGTTTTTATTTAATTGACTCTAGCTCCTTATCCCTGCTTCTTTGAAAACATTTAATACCTAGTCCACAATTTTAATAAAAAAGAAGAGAAATGCAAGCACACAAAATTCAATTTTATTAATATTATTAATGCTTATAACAAATTAAGAGGAAATTTAAATTATAAGAGGACATATTTTTAAAGAGCCCTAGCTATGCAGCCCAGCTTGATATGGAACTCATGGCAATCTTCTTGCCTCAGCCTCCCAAGTGCTAGGATTATAAGTACGTGACGCCATGCCCAGTCTATACAGGACATCTGTTGAAGAAATGAATCAGCTACCTAAAACAAATCAAAAAGAAAAAAAAAATGGATCCCTAAGCCCAATTCACCACAACACAAGTATTCCACAGCAGTTTTCTTATTGCCTAGACTTCTAGACTGAGTACTGGACTTGGCCAGAAATCTTAGTCCAAAGATCTTAGTCCAAAGAGATCACTAATTAGAGATGACAACCTTATTCCAGTTGCTGCAGACTCACCACTTATATAGGAATTCATTAGCATAACTGCCACTGAAATGACTGAGGTGTTTAATTTAGCCTCAATTAATACATTATGGAGAAGCTATTAAAAAAAAGAGAGAACTGAAGGGGTATGAAGTTTATAATGAGCTAGCTCTTGGGGGAGAAGAAAGCATTAATGATTTTTTGAAAAGTATTAATGGCCTTTTTTTAAACACAGTAAAGCTGCATTATAATTACCAGGACCTCCTTAGGGAGCTTAAAAGCATGACTTAATGAACATTTTATTTTAAGGTTATATACAATCTCCCCTTTCCTCCAACTGAAAAATGTCATCAATATCGATTTGGGCTAAAGAATATATATTAAAAATACTGAAACATGGGGTAGTGAAGGTAAGGAACAGGATGCTGAAAATCATCAATGAACAAGTGAGTTAACAAACAGATTTCTCTGGAATAAGTAGAAACTACAAGAGATTGAAACTAATCACTAATATACCATGGGACTCATTTGGTTTGCCATCTAAATTTCACAAAATGGACTTAGTCAGAAAGCAGAACATATATGACTTTTTTACATAATTTTTGGTACTAGGGATTTTTTTTGGAGACCAAATCACTTTACTGGGGGGCTTGGGAATGGGAAGAAGCCACCGAAAAGACGCTTCACACGAGATCTGATGTTCGCGGCACAGCTGGATCTCTCCGGGTCCACTGTGGCCAAGAGTGGTACTAGGGATTATATGAAGGTCTTCATACATGCTAGGTAAGCTTTCTACCCATGAATTATGCAATCCTTATGGTTCAGCCTTACCAGTAGGTGGGATGACAGGTATATGGCCCTCCACTTGGCTTTAATCCCTGTTAGAGATTCATGTTTAGCCTTTGTGCTGTTCAGTACCATTGCTATAACAATGGAGAAATGGATCTATTTCAGGCACAATTATGATCACTAGCAGTTCGCCTACCAGCAGAACCATCACACTGCACCATCAGTTTTTGTTACTGTTGTTTTGAGACAGTGTCTTGCTATGTAATGCAGGCTGGTCTTGAGGTTTTTTTTTTTTTTTTTTAATGTATTTAGTACAGGGTCTACAGGGTTTCACTATGAAGATCGGACTCATAGTGATCCTTCTGTTTTTAGCCTCCCAAGCACTGGGATTATAGGCATCTCAATCGCCATCTCAGCCTCCCTAGTGCTGGGATTACAGGTGTCCGCCACCATGCCCAGACTCTACTGCTGGCTCAGCTCGCCTGGGGGGTAGGGTCTGCGTGGCATGTGGTGCCAGGGATCGAACCCTGGCCCCTGTGCTTGCCTAAGCAAGTGCTTAGTCTGCTAAGCTACCTTGTGGGCCGTTGAGCTTTTTATGTAGCCCAGGCTGGCCTCAAACTCATGGCGATCCTCCTGCTTCAGCCTCCCAAAATGCCAGGATTACAGGTGTGTATTATCACACCCAGTAGCATCTTTTATAAACATGGATACAGTCAGTGTAAAAACGAAACTGTTAATGCTTTAGACAGCACAGTCCTGAGACAAAGAAGCTTATTTACCTCGATGTCACAATAGCAAAGTCTTTCAGACAGCCTGGCCATTAGCCACTGAGAAACAGCAAAGAGAAGGTGGGCAGTTCACTGCAAACCCATTTTCCTCTATTAGGAAAATACTTTTAGTTACACACGCCACTGATGCATGGCTGCAGTCAGTAATGTGAGCTTTGTAGGTACCAACAGCACATTTACATAACTGTTCTACTAGTTTAAAAAAAAGTTTTCCAAAACAAACAAACAAACAAACAAACAAACCAACCAAAACAAAATTCTCTAGGTACCACATCACATCATTATCTTTTGAATCAGTACCAAGAAAAAAAATTTCTAGCCTTCTTTTTCACTAGCTATACAACTGTGAGCAACATCCTTTAACCTGAAATATTTTTCTAAATGAACAAAATAAGTCAGTAGGATAAAACTGACTTTCCAGCTTACACTTGTTAGCTTCACATACCATTTCAGAGGTAAGATAGAAAGACTGTAAATGAAAGCAGTAAAGGTCTAGGCAGGGAAATGTCCTCACTGAAAAACATGCTACATTTCCAGCCCCTTCAGAAGCTAAGCCTACAGATGCCATGGCTGCCTCTTATATGGAACTGAAACAGGAGTGCAGGCCAACTCACAATCAACAGGCACTTTGCTTCTTACTAGATGTGAATACTCCACACCACAGTGGAATGCTCAAAACCACTTCCACAGAGAGAGGAAAATGATACAGCTCAAAAAATAAGAAACAAGTGAAAGTTAAACAAGCTTTTATTTTTCTTATTTTTACCAGATGTAACATAAGTTCACCAAAAAATAAAGTAACAGTGTATTCAATTCTGGTTCACATAAACACACGTAAGCTTATATATAAGGGAAATGAATGAAATCAATGATTTAGGGATAGAAGGGACTAAGATTATTTTATTATAAAGTATATACACTACCTATGAAGTAGTATAATGTTATACGAAAGCGGACTTGGGAGAGCTATTAATGTGCATTGCAAATATTAAGGCAATCACTAAAAAATGTAAGACAAGAATAATACCTAATATGCTAAGAAAAGGGAAAAATGAAACTGAAATGTTCAATTAAAACAGAAATAGAAAACAGAATTGAGGATCAAACCAGGAACAAAGACAAAAAACAGAAAACAATAAATATGGTAGATAGTAACCCATCTACTGATATTAAATATCAGTCATCTAAATGCACCAAATAAACAGATTGAATCAGAGTAGATTTTTTAAAACATGATGATATACCATACCAACGGTCATCAAATAAAGTAGAAATACACATTATTTCAGACTAAGCAGACTTCAGAGCAAGGAAAATAATTAGGCTAAAGAAGGCTATTATATCATGATGAAGGGTCAATTCTCCAAGATAATAATCCTTAGTGTGTTTGTACCTGGTAAGAGCATACATGTGGCTGAGATATATATAGCTCAGTGGTAGAATACTTACTTACCTAGCATGTGCAAGGCCGTGGGTTCAATCTCCTATTCCACAAAACAAACAGCAATAACAAACAAAAACCACACATATGTAAGCTGCTAAAATTGTAAAGAGAAACAGTTGAAACCAGTAACTATTGCAGTTGAATAAGCAACACCTCTCAAAGAGAAATGGACAGATATGCCAAGCACAAAAATCAGAAACAACATAAACTTTTTGTTTTGTTTTTTGGTAATACTGAGGGAACTGAACCCAGGACCTTCACACTACATCCCTAGCCCTTTACTTTTTATTTTGAGACAGGTGTCACTAAATTGCTCAGGTGGGACTCAAACTTGCAACTGGTTCTCTAACCTCAGCCTCTCAAAAATGCTGGGATCAAATATGTGTGCCATTGTACACAGCTCAGAAATTATATACTTTAAAACTCAGTAACACCATTAACTGAAGGACATGTATAAATTACTTGATTCAAAAATAGCAAAATATACATTCTTGAACCTCATATGGAACATTCACCAAATTTCAAATTACAGAAATCATAAAATGGCTTTCAGACGATAAGCTAAAATCAAGATAAATGGATAGTAAACATTATTAAATGCAAGGGTCAAAAAGGCAAAATCAAAAGAAGGATTTTTTTTGGCAATATCAAAAGAAATTTAAAAGTTTTTTAACTGAATGAAAATTTGTTTCTACAAACAAGTAATTTGTTTGTAGAATTAGCAAAAGTACTGCTTTTGGGGAAATTTATAATGCATGTATTAGAAAAAAAGATTTAAAATCAACCACCTAAACTTCTATCTTAGGAAACTAGAAGACAACCAAGATCAATCTAAAGTAAGCAGAAGAAAAAGAAATAATTTACAGTAGAAATCAATGAAATTTAAAAGAAATTTAAAAAATCAATGACACCACAAGCTGGTTCTCTGAAACATCAATAAAAAAAAAAAAAATCAACAAGCTGTCGATCAAGAAATAAGAGAGTAGAGTATTCTGCTGCTGTCCAGCAAAGAGGAAACCACGGCTCTCTGAGACACCCAAAACACAAAAATTAACACTGAAAATAAGGCCATGTCAGTATGGCAGGTGCAAACCGTGTGCCCTTGGCCACTGCTGCAGCCTCCAAGCCAGGTCTGAGGCCAA